ATTAGATAAATTTTAATAATTCGTTTTTAGTGTTATTTTGGGCTAATCGATTAAATTGAGTAGTCGCGATGAAGTACTTCCTAGTTTTCGCAACGGTGTTGGTAAGTAAAAGTGTTTTTACTTGGCGAAGTCTTTGTTATACATTATAATATGCTAGGAAAACGTTTGTAGTTTTGCTCTAGTTGGGACCCTTCAGGAAGCAGCAGATTGTTACGTCTCATGGCTTCCACATAGTAAACTCACGCTTATATAATGTACAACACAAGTTTTAATTTTATTAATATTTTTAAATATATCAATTTTTATAATTAACCTCTTTGAGCAATATGGTATAAGATAATTAACTTATTTATTGACTAGATGCCCTTGTAACATACACTAATATTTTTTACATTTAACTTTTGAAATTAATTACGATTGAATTTCTTTTAAATTCAACCGAAAATTTTTAACCCTATTCTTGACAAGAACAGATTCACGGGAAAAAATTTTTTTTTGACATATTTGGTATATATTTGAACAAAATAACGCAAAAAGAGAAGAACAAAATTTTTTTTTGCTTTGTTTTGATTTTACAGGCCCCTATTTTTATGTATATTGTCAGATACGCTGCCAGCTTGGCGGCAATATTGTTTTGTATCCTACGAGATACTACCCCAGTATATATACCAATCAGTATTGGCACTCTGAGGCGGCACGTTTGATCTTTAAAAGTAGAAATTTTAGTTGACACTTGACGTTTTCGGGATATGAAAAGTTTTCTTTACACGAACTTGGTATACCTGGTTAGTTGAATTTTTGTTCTGTTGCTTTTCAAATTCATGTGTATGAGGGAGATGTGAGATACCTTTATAGACAACGGTTGAACAACTTAATTACTTTGAAGAAGAAAATAGATTAGATATCAGGGCAGCCTTCGCAAATGTAAGAAGGACAGAACCGTTTTAAATTTTTTTATATATGTGAAATATTACTTTTTGGTGAAAAGTTTAGTTACTTTTAGTTCAAAATATAACGTTAGTTTGTCAAGGGAAATATATAACACACAAGGTTAGAGTAACAAAATAGAGGTATTGCTTTATTTCTTAAGAATTACTATAATCTAAAACTTTTCTAGTATATTGTAAACATTTATTCTATACGTTATTTAGGTACTGCAAAATCTATAGGAAGGAAAGTATGTAGTTTTAAATTTAAAAATTTGTAACGGAGACATATTTAGTGTAGTTTTTTACAAATATAATTCAGTGACTTGTTTTTGTGAATGAGTTCAAGTATGGCAGACTAAAATCGTTATTTTTTATTATGAATTAATTTGAATTTATTTTAAAATGAGAACTATATGTATATGGTTTTCGTAGTTTTTACACTTGTGATAAAAATATAAAAGTTATGTATATTGGCCATTTACTACACACAGCAAATTCATAAACACAATACATATTACTATTTGACATTCTTGTAAAACCACTAATTTAAAATTGACTTTAAACTAAGTGACTATACACAGAATTGTTTGAAAGCAGCCATAAGGTATAATTTATTTATTGGATACTATAAAAAAATTAATAGTAGTTACATGTAGAGTTAAGTAACAAGAACTTTAAAAACAAAACCTTTATATCTAGTGAACTTAATTTAGTACACTCCTCAACTTTCTTAGGCTACCATTAAAGATATCTATTTGAACCTCGCTAAAAAACTCATTGGTAACAGCCATTATCTTGTTAAAAGGAAATATACTACTTGGATCTAAACTTAATAATTTTTTGTTACTTGGGATTCTTAGATTAACCTTTGCCACATTAAAATTTATATAGGCAACCAAATCACAATCTTTGTACTTAACATTATTTAAAATAGAGTACAAAATATATCACAGCCTGTTGATTTCTTCTTTGTAAAAGAGATTTAATCTCAAAATAAAAATAATATTACAGGGTGTTCCATCTCAGACGAGCCACCCCGTATATTTCTTATCCCATAGTAATTGGAAAAATTTCCCGAAACATATCGGATGATTTTCTTTGGGGGACATCTTTTGACGTATATCTGAGGCTTGCACGAGCAACTTCCTATGAGGGGGCGCTTCAACCCCTCAAAATTGAATAGGAAAGAGGGGTTGAGTGATACTTCATTTGTAAGGTCTTGGAAGCCTCTTTACAACGGTGTATGAAAAAAATCACATTCTTAAAAAAATTAATTGTTTTATCATGCTTACAATCAAAAAAATCAAAACTGCATTTATAAATCAAATATTCAAATTATCTCTCATTGACTTGCTTACAATAATACAGTCTTGAATGAAAACCGTCTTTAACATGGTCCAGCATAATTGGAGTTATTTGACGACACTCATTTACAATTCGTTGGCGTAGTTCGTCCAAATTTTCAGTTTGAGTAACAAAAATCTTGGACTTGAGATGTCCCCACAAGAAGAAGTCCAGGGGGTTCAGGTCAGGAGCTCCGCCTTGTTGGAAATGCAGTTGTTGTTCAATTAGTAGATAAGATAAATTTCGCCAATTAAATTACCAGGAATAAACATTCCTACCCAAACGTTTAGCCTTTCCGGATATTGAGTGTGAGCTTCTCGAAATACATGAGGATTTGTATTGCTCTAAATTCTACAGTTATGCCGGTTAACCTCTCCATTAAGTGAAAAAATGCATTCGTCAGAAAAGCAAACGTTGTACAAGAAATTTGGGTTATTGTTGATACGCTCGACCATAATTTCGCAAAACTCTTGCCCACGATTCAAATCATCATCATTTAATTCATGAATTAATTTAATTTTGTACGGATGGAACTTGTGTTTATGTAAAATTCTGAAAACGTTAGATTGGCCAATACTGGAAACTGCAGAAAGTTGTCGGACTAATTGCGTGTTTGGCATAAGTTGGACATGGCCCAATACCGCCATAGTTGCTTCTTCATCATTCACAATTCCAATGGGTGCCTTTTTTTATCCATTACTTAATCCGTCTCAACAAATTTTGTAATCAATTCCATTACGTACTTATGGCGAACGCTACGTTCAGGATGGTTTCGGTTAAATATCCTTGCAGCCGCTCGGGCACCATTTTGATTTTGGTAATACAGGCTAACCAGCTCAACACGTTCTTGCAATGTATACACTATAATTTATTCTTAAAATTGAAAGCAAATCAGCAAAGTAGTAACTTAACAGATTTATTTTTAATACAAAAAATGATCGAAGAAACGTGATAAACACCTTCTAAGAACAAAAAATTAAGGCAAGTTAAGAAAATGTTTTGATTTTTTTTTATATTTATAATTTTATGGAAGTCAATGGAGGATAATTTGAACATTTGATTTAAAAACACAGTTTTGATTTTTTTGATTGTAAGCATGATAAAACAATTAATGTTTTTTAAGAATGTGATTTTTTTTCATACACCGTTGTAAAGAGGCTTCCAAGACCTTACAAATGAAGTATCACTTAACCCCTCTTCCCTATTAAATTTTGAGGGGTTGAAGCGTCTCCTAATAGAGGGTTGCTCGTTCAAGCCTCAAATATACGTCAAAAGATGTTCCCCAAAAAAATCATCCGACTTGTTTCGGGAAATGTTTTCAATTACTACGGGATAAGAAATATACGGGGTGGCTCGTCTAAGATGGAACATCTTGTATAGTGTACGCCATTGAATTCCACGGGCGTATCTCCTCAGAAACATAACATTTTAGACAGTCTCTAATTTTTTTATGTTAGTATTTTACTAAGGTTTGCATGTAGTACAATAGTATTGATATATTTCTATGTGTATGCGTACTCATATCTTATTATCGCGCCTAATTTAAAAAAAATAAAATTTTATAAACACGTGTACTCATTATTTCTCAAAATGTTCGATTTCACCAACATGCATCTGTTTCAAATGACATATCTCGACTAAAATGGAAGCAATTAACTTTAAACCTAAACGGCCATTAATACAGGGTGTGGTACATACGGTGTTACCAACAACATCCCCAAATTTAACGATTTAATACTTTTAAAAAAATCGGGAAAATTGGTTTCTTGAGAGATACGACGTCAAGGAAAGAGGTCTTTAAACTAGGGTCTGCGGGCCAAATCCGGCCCGCCAGTGTCATCAATCCGGCCCGCAATAGCTATTGGTGTATTGTTGCTCTGATAAGTTGAATAAAAAAAAAATGATTATAACTCTGATTTATTTACTTGCTAGGTATAGCTTAATGACAAGTATAATACGCAGAAAATTTACCTTAAGCATAATAATTAACAAATAATTGAACTAAATCTCATTAACATTATGAACTAGTAAATATCCCGCGATTTCACCTTCGGTAGTTATGTTGGAGTAAAAAGTATCACATATGTATGTATATCGATGTTTGGAATGTATATATCCTGAACAATATACAGGGTGTCCCAATGAAAAGTAGCCCGTTTTCATTTGATAAAATTTGGTTACGGTGAATTTAAAAGAGGAGATTTTTAAAAAAACACCCTGTATAGGTAATACATAATTTCTGTGTCACTGAAGCAAAACTTATAGCAAAATAACACATATGAGCAACAACCGCACGTTTCTACGATTTGTTTAAAAGTTATAAGCCTTTGGAAATGAGCTACTTTTCATTGGGACACCCTGTATATGATTTTTTTTTCTTTTGAAAATCCTTTAGGACCAGAATACTAATAAGATTTATGTAATTGTGATTTTCACTGACAATAGTTTGTAGTTGTGGGCCAATTTTACTTGTACTTATTTAAGAGATTTAAGCTGCTCATAGGTTAACTTAGATCTGTAAACATTCTTTGTGTACTTCATTTTGGAGAACGTTTTCTCACACAAGTAAGTAGTACTAATAACAGAAAATAGCCCACGATCAAATGTATTCAAATTATTAAATTGTACCAGTGGAAGAATCTTATAAAATTCTAGCAAAGATGAGTTTTGATATTTGTTTTTAATTACACCACTGCACTGTAAATCAATAAATTTCGTTTAAATTTTTTAGGCTATGGTGTCAATGTCAGCATTAAAATGATTTGGAAAAAGTTTAATTTCATATGCAATAACATCAAAGTCTGAGATACGAGTATCAAAATTTATCTTCAAAGCACTAAAAGCTTCGATTGTAAAATCGACGGGAGACTCAGTATCAGTAGTGTGGCTGATTATTTCACATGTTTTAAAATGAGTGAAACCTTTTTTACATAATTGTGATTCAAACAGTATTATTTTCTGTCGGAACGATTTAATATTAGTATACAAATCAGGAAGAAGCTGGTTTTCTCCTTGCCATCTCAAATTCAGTTCGTTCATAGATTTGCCAAATCGACATAGAATGCTTACTTCCACAGCCGTTTGTTATTTTGTAATTCGATAAGAAGGCGATGCTCTTTATTTAAAACAATTTCGATAACAGCTTAAAGTTAAAAAAAGCGCATGCAATTTCATAAATATTTTCCAAAAAAAATTAATGAACATTTTATTTTTTAATGACTTGAGAAAAAATAATTTGAGTTTTACTAATCACAGTAATGATTCAAATTGCGATTGAAAAATCACGCTATCTTCACTTTTGCTATAACTCTATATTGACGTTGACATTTCTATCTTCAAGAATTTATGCATATAAAAATATTTTGTGAATAAGGATTAATAACGTATCTCATAAATAATACTGTACTTTTCTTAATCATCTCCAAAGAACATTTTTTTTTATCTCCTTAATATAATATTTTTGTGTTAGGTTTGCGTAACTTTAGCCCTTGCCGACGACCAACAACAACCACAAGCGGAGGGAGCTGTACAGAGACAAGCTGATTTAGTAGCTGATGCGGCAACGCAAACTCGTCAAGTAGCACCAGAGGCAGTTCCTGAGGCTTCCGTTAGGCAACAAAACATTGATAATCCGCAAGTTCGAGCTGATACAGGTGATTAGTATTTGCTAATTACTTACTCAGTTTAACAGGTTATTGGTAAAGGAAAAACAAACAATGTTTATTCTTACAGCAGTTGTAGAGAGCAGCAGGAGCATGTACTGTTTGGAGTATTAAAACAAAAATTTTAACAAAACATTTAATATCCATCAGTCGTTAAAGGTCTCGAAATTGAAACTGTCCGTTACTTTTAGAAAATTCAATATTGGTTCAGGTTATAATTTACATTTTAGGTAGGATCCCGGTGTTCATCGAACACCAGGGTACACCAACGATGTTAAAAGAATGAAATGAGAAAACTGATCGACAAACTTATGGTATTTTATGACACGCGTAGTCGTAATAGATGGAAAATAAATAATAACATATTTTAATTTAAGACTAATAATTTAGAAGATATTTTGAAATAGTCGTTTGAAAATTTGTATGATCCGTGGCACGTTAATTTTTCTGGTACTTACTTTTATATTATTTGATAAATATTTACCATTTGATTACCAAGACTATTTTTATTTAAAGAACAGAAACTAAGAAAATATAGCTTGGAAATTCGGGAAATTTAAAGGTGGGAACAAATCAAAGAAAAACGGATAAAATTATCGCATCCCATCAGAACTCGAACCTAAGATCTATGTCTTGCAGGCCATCTACTTTGGCCGGAGAAATCATTTCTCATTCAAACGAGATGAAATATTATTTTCGTTTTCTACATAAGAAACTCACCTGGAACCCCTAATTAGAAAAGACCACCAATAAAGCCAAATCATTTTTTTTACTCTACAAAGAATGAGGATCAATCAGGCCCCATCGGATCTACTGAATTTACCGAACCGTAATGGAGCCATCTCAAAATTTTACTGAAAAGGAAGTGTAGTCGGCCAGCGCTATTTTTTTTTTTAACTTTGGCTGCCTGCGTAAGTGTTCCTTCCTGTTTACAGGGTAGATCGTGGACTGTATTTTTTAATGAATCTTATAGAATATCGGTGATAAATTAATGGATAAATTGTTGTGGAATGTAGAAATTAAAGTAATTGCTTCTGCCAACTGGTTTATATTATCTTTTTAAATTTTGTACTTTATAAGCACATAATATTTAACTAATACTGTTTCATTTAATTGAGCGGAAATATGCTGATTTAAAACATCTCTCTTGGTTTAGTGGTAAAAATGCAACCATTCGCGGAAAACTAAAATTAGTTGTTGCTTGTTTAGAGGCTCAAATCGTTCTATTTATGTGTAGAAATAAATAGTTTAGTTGTGTGTGTACGTGACATTGTTGTGATTGGTTAAAAAAAAATCGTATGTTTGACACTGTCTTGTAAATGGTTTAGAGAAAGTGGCGTGCTCTTGATCACAATTAGCGTGTAGAGAGATAGAGTTATAAATATTAAATAAGTGTATTTTTTAGGATTTATTTTAAACGGTGCTTATGTGGATGCAAGTGAAATAGGTCTTGAAATTTACCCTACTGCAGCCTTCCGACTTTAAATAGACATGAGCTACAGTAGATCCATCTAGGTCGCAGTGGAATACGATGATATTACCTTAATTATTTTCCACATAAAAAAATCTAACCTTGCCGAGATAGTGTCTTAACTGTTCGACCACAGGACACTTACAGTCCTGCGACCTGGTTTTTATTTTGTTTATATTCACTTTTCGTTGTTTAGGAAATTATTCCTAAATTTCCTAGCTAAATTTCATTACTTTTTGGTGCCATAACCGACAAAATGTGGTTTCATTTTCCTTGCCTATGCATTTATAGAGCATATCCGTACAATTTGGAAACTTAACATATTTTTAGATGGACGGAGGAATCGTGCATGATTGCAAGAACCTGGGTATCTTAGTCGAATTCAAATCTTTTGTTTCTAAATAATTTGTCGATTGCAGGACATTAAGTGCCCTGTGGTTGAGCGGTTAAGATACTGGCCCTGTAAATCATAGATCGCAGACTCGAGCCCTGCCCGGGTGCGTAGATATTTTTAAATTTTTCTTTGGCTGTTTAATAATTTATTCTTGAATTTCTTACTTAATTTTTATAATTTTTTATATTATCTTTAATATACAGTGTCTGGAACAAAATGTATTGATCACAAAAACAGTAATAACTTAAAAAACAGCAGTAAATTTTACTTAAGAATACAAAATACGAAGTTTTATGAGCTTCGTACCAAATTGCATACAGCATCGCCTGATTTAACATCTTTTGATTTCTTAATCGGGGATTTCTAATAGAATTTTAAAAGAATAGAAATAAAAAAATATTTATATAGAACATTTACCGGACACTGTTATTTTTTTATTTTATTCTCATCAAATATATTATAATATTATTATTATTATTATTATTATTATTATTTTCAGTGACACCGTAAATGAAATAACAAATCAGTCAGCTATGGAACAAGAACCATAAAAATGTGTTTATGTTATAACTTGTTAATATAATTTTTAAATAAATATATTTATACTTATTTTAGTTATCTCAGATCTTTTTATTAATCACAATTTTATTCCACTTTATGTACAAAAACTATATAAAAGGAACGTTTAAGAATAGACACTCTTCCACATGAATTTTTGACAACGACATTGGCGACCATTTTTATTGTGGAGGAAGGAGGTGAAATACCTATGTGGAAAAAACACAGTTGAAATTTTCAACTATGATGGATTTAAACCCTTTTTACATTTTTCTGGAAATTTGTGATAGTGGGGTAGTTAATGCACTCAAAAACGGCAATGGGGCAAAACGGAAACAACCTCATTTTTATTTTTTCAGACTCGCTAGTTCTCCGAAAGCATATAATAAAGACATACAGTCGCCTTATTCCAGAGAAAGACAGAGAAAGACTTGAATGGTAGTCTAAGCAGGGTCGTATTTAGTTCTAATTAAAGTCACCTGTGCAGATTTACAACTTTTAAATGAGTTATACACCTAAGATTTGTTTCAACATGTCCAATCCAAAATTAATTTAGTTTATTGCGCAAGTGTGACTTTTACATTATTTGTTGACCCTTTTGCGACTAAACTAGGTTAGATAAATGTTGCTAAGACATGACTTGTTCTATATTCACTATCTCTAGATTTAGTCATATACGTTAGTTAGATACTAGTATATTTATCGACTGTGCTACATGATATTCGGAAAACACTAGATTATATAAATTATTTTAAAACAAATTTTACAGTTTTTAATATTTTTGCATATTTAAAAAAATCTGTATTACGTTTTCTGATGGATTTTCAAATCATTTTTATCCTTTATATTCTAAACATTTAACATTTTCTAAACATTCAGAATATGTAAATGATAATTATAATGATAATAATGAGTACATACTTTAGAGAATAGTCAAAAATAATAATCTACAAATCGATTATCTTACATTTAAACTACTGTTCATCTATATTTGTTGAGCACTACCGAAAAAAGCGTACTTCAAAAAACAGAGTCATAATTTGCCTTGTATTATATAGATGTAATCGTTATTAAAACCATGTTACAAGCAACAGAATCATTAAGTGATAAACTAATGTTATTTCTAAATACAGTGACTTCTGTATAATAAAATAAAACAAAAATTATTTCCTGAATATTTATTTATTGAAAAACACTAGATATATAAAAGATGTACATTATTATCTAACCTGAGACAAAGAAGACTTTGGTTTCTACAGTTACCACCAACTGATCTTTTGCATAATGGACTTTTCAATATAATAATTTGCCTCAGTGTAAAGAACTTAAACATTATTCAAATACATAAGAGAATAGGTACTTTAGACTGTACAGATAATATTATTATATTAATATAGTTAAATGTTATTGTTTAAATTATATGATGAGTTGTTTAATTATACTTGTTATATTTGTAGCAAAGTTATTTATTAAATTGTTAATAAAGGAGTTTCATTTTTAAATAATAAAGAACAATCAGAAATGTAAGTAATTATGATTGGTACAGCTCTATATTTATCATTTAATTTTATTATAAAGGTAAATTAAGATATTTAAATTTTACTCTAAAGTTAAATTTAATTGTTTAAATTTTATTATAGTTCTTTATGTAGTAAACTATTTAAATTTTATTGTAAATACAATTTATTCCATTAACTAAATAGTAATTTTATGTCGGAACAGCATTCTTATTCTTTAATCTGATCCTGAACTCACTTTTATCTAAAAATTTGTCCTAACAATAAATTGAACCTATCATAATATTTGGTCTAGGCCTCAAATGGTATTTTATACAAATTCCCTTACATTTTAAGATATCGTGTCTTTTGGAAATCGGAATAACGCAAGAAATTAGTAATTATGAAAAAATACAAAATACAGTCCTTATACTTACTTGTGAGAACTAAATCAGACC